GTGCCATGGCAGGCGCCGGGCTAGTCCTGCAGCCCGAGACCCAGGCCTGTGCTCTGCCCCCTACGAAGGAGAAGTAGGGAACTGAGCACTGCTGGAGCCGGCTCTGCCTGGCAACTGATGATGCTGCCCAGACCCGATGCTGCCTGGCCCCTGGGCTGGGGGTGCCCAATCCCCGGGGCCGTGGGCAGCGTCCCAGGGCTGGAGCTCGGAGCTGGGCGGAGAAGGTTTCAGGCTGGGGGTCCCGACGACTTTCCAGATCTTCCTCCTGAGCAGCGATGGGGGTGGGTCGGATCCTGGGGGCCGGGACCTGCTGGGCTGGGGCTCTACTAGTGACACTGACGGTGTTGAGAACCCACCTGACTCATTGCATGGAGCCCCCAGGTGAGCAGAGACCCCAGTCGCTCGGTGAGATCCTGCCGGGCGAGCTGGGGTCAGCGAACGACTCCCTAGGATGTAGGTGCCCAACTCCCTTGGGCGCTGGGGAATCCCAGCCTCAGCCCTGAGCCAGTCCCCTCCCCCTCCTGGAGTGTGTCTGACCCCCCAGCGCAGCTTTAATGTCTCTGGCTGGGGAGTTCCCGGGTCTCCCAGTGACCGGCCCTGGGGTGTGAGTGTTGGGGGCCAGGGTCTGAAATTGCCCCGAGAACCAGGTCCTGGCGACGGCGGGACAAGGAACCAGCCCCACACAGATGAGAGAATGAAATGTCCTGCAGCCACAGCCCTCAACTCCCCCCAGGAGCCGCTTTGGGCAGGGTCATGTCCCCACTTGCCAGTGGAGCCAGGTTTGGTCTGGTCACTGCTCGGCTGGGAGACGTGAATGGAAACCAGGGAACTGAGCAGGGGTCAGCAGGGGGGTCTCTGCTCTCTCAGTCCTTGCACCAGGGCTGCCCTATGGGGCCTGTGCTGGGGGGACTGGGGCAGGGGCGCTCTCCCCTGGTAGTCAGTGCTGGCCCCAGATGCGGGGGGGCACCGTGCTCCATGCACCTGCCTTCCCCTGACACCAGCGAGTCCTAGTACGAATGTCACAGCCCGGGAGCTGGGGGGCTGCACTGCTGGGGGAAGCGCTGAGACCCCCCTCCTTGGGGTGGGGATCAGCTCCCCGGGTGGCTGGTGGTGGTGCTGACACCCCGTCTCCCCGCAGCTGAGAACATGCTTTCCCAAGTGGCCTTCTACCAGCGCACGGACCCGACCCAGCGGGAGGCCGGGGAGTTCATGTTTGAGTTCGACCAGGACGAGATCTTCCACGTGGACCTGGAGAGGAAGGAGACCGTCTGGCGCCTGCCTGACTTCGGCAAGTTCACCAGCTTCGAGGCGCAGGGCGCCCTGGGCAACATCGCCGTGCTGAAGAAGAACATGGAGATCATGATCCAGAGGTCCAACCGCACACGGGCCCGGAATGGTACGGTACGGGGGGGTGAAGGCACCTTTCCCGCCAGGGGCCTGACCCGTCCTCCAACCTTCATGGAATCATAGAATATCAGGGTTGGGAGAGACCTCAGGAGGTATCGAGTCCAACCCCCTGCTCAAAGCTGGATTCTCTCCAATTTGTTCACATCCCTTTTGTAGTGGGGGGCCCCAAAACTGGACACAGTACTCCAGATGTGCCCTCACCAGTGCTGAATAGAGGGGAATGATCACATCCCTCGATCTGCTGGCAGTGCTCCTACTTATACAGCCCAAAATGCCGTTAGCCTTCTTGGCAACAAGGGCACACTGTTGACTCATATCCAGCTTCCCGTCCACTGTGACCCCTAGGTCCTTTTCTGCAGAACTGCTACCTAGCCATTCGGTTCCTAGTCTGTAGCGGTGCATGGGATTCTTCCGTCCTAAGTGCAGGACTCTGCACTTGTCCTTGTTGAACCTCATCAGATTTCTTTTGGCCCAATCCTCCAATTTGTCTAGATCCCTCTGTATCCTATCCCTACCCTCCAGCGTATCTACCACTCCTCCCAGCTTAGTGTCATCTGTGAACTTGCTGAGGGTGCAATCCACGCCATCCTCCAGATCATTAATAAAGATGTTGAAAAAAACCGGCCTCAGGACCAACCCCTGGGGCACTCGGCTTGATACCGGCTGCCAACTAGACATGGAGCCATTGATCACTACCCATTGAGCCCGACAATCTAGCCAGCTTTCTATCCACCTTATAGTCCATTCATTCAGCCCATACTTC